GCAGTTCTGCTGATGCAAGCGTTGCGTATGTCTGTGGGTAGTCTGTGACTGTGTGTCACCATCAGTGGTGTTTGTACCAAATATTTGTGTTTTTTTTCCCCTTGTTTCTTTTTTTCAGTTTTTTCCTGTTTACGTTCTTCTTCCTGTAGTTTATGCATAAAGCAAGAGGGGTATAATTCAGTTTGAAATGTGGTAAAGATGGCTGTTCTAAGAAGTAAGAGTGGATACTGAGCAAAGAATGTTGGAGATGGATTAAAAATTGTCACATGGTGAAAAACATTAAATATAAAGTCAGTGGTTTTATCCTTAGAAAAGGCAAAGGAAAGACACTCAGTTTTCAAACTCGTTCCTGGAACAGCAGGTATATAATAGACTGTATTATCACCACAACACCAACATTGTCAAAATGCTTTTGTTCTTTTTTTGTCTGTATATATTTGTGTGTTAACTCACAAATAGACATATTAAACCAGATATCAGGAGAGGCTGATAAAGAAAATGAAAAAAACAAAGATAACTGTTTTTGGAGACTTTATGGCTGAGCAAAAGAAAGTAGTAAACAAATGGCAAACATTTAATGTGTTCAGGAAACAGACTTTCACTATCTACTAATGAGTGGTAAACCGACTGGTTGCTAATTGTGATTTTGTTCTATGGCTCTTTTTCTTTTATGGTCAATCAAACTGTTTTTCTGCACTTTACAAGTCGGTACTGTATTAGCCAGGCTTTGTTCCAAGATGTCATTTGCCCAGAGACCATTAACAAAAAGCCCCTGCCAACTGTCAGTATTCTCTAGCGGTGCTGACGAAACAACTACGTACTATTTCTGTACCCTTCACAGCAGTCCCTAGACCACAGCCATGAGCACGCTACTTCAGCTACCCCTAAGCGCTTCTAGTTGTACTGGTTGAGCAGTTCCTCCTGAGCAGAAACGGTACCACATCAAACATCGTATGCCAAACACACAAAAGAGAAATGTGGTTTTTGCCAACCAGAGCAGAAAAGGAATGCATTGAAAAAAATAAAACAACCCTGAAAAACTCTAGAAGTTTAAAAAAAGGTATTGTTACAAAATAACAATGTTATTTCACAGCAGAATACATATAAATGTTTAAATATACTCGTCAAGCTTTTTATTGATTGATGTGTCAAGAAATCATTGACCTACATTTATTATAATAAAGCACAAAAATACAAACACCAATATATATATGATAAATTCAGTTAGTTTTGTTTGACCTGAGGAAACCTCACTGTATCACTGTCATATGTTGCCTCGGTCTTATGTGAAGTTGTGGGTTAGATTCCCATGGTATGGTGGAGTTCTGTGTTCGTTCTGTTTTGCAGTAGTATGTCACACTGCTGTATCCATGGAATGAAATCTTTGGGGGCAGACGCACAAATGGCTTTGCCTAATGTTCCCATCCATCTCACAGCTCTGGCCGCAGCTTGAGGCCACATCGGTGTGATGTGCCAATGCTGAAAATCTAGTTGGGTTTCAAACTTGAGAACTGGTCGCTGCTGAGTAGTTGGACATTATCAGTTTTCATTTCAAACATGGACAAAACGTTATCAACACTGGAATGACCGCGTGTTGATGTTGGATTCTTCACAGCTGGGAGATGTGTGGTCATCTGGAGCCTGGGCCTGAAAATCAGCAATAACATGTTGCCAGAACAATTATGGTAAATAGGATATCACAATTTGAGTTACTTGTGTACTTGGCATACTGCAGTCCATGTTAATCATCACCTTGCCAAAAATAAAGGTGACAGGTATCAGTGTAACACATGGCCGTTTCCTTGCTGAGTGTTGATGGGAAATAATGGCGGGGGGATTTACTACTCTTGCCAACCACATCTACCCTGAGAGTCTGTGTGGTTTTAGTCTGATTCTGGATGATCAACAGTTGACATGGTATTTACACTGATACACTGTAATACACTGTTTTTGTAGTTCTTATGAAGGTATTTGATTTGGATGAATGATGTGTTTTGTACTTGGTACTGCAGCAGATGGGATGCTGTTAGAATGCTGTTCATTTGCTATTACTGAAGAGTGGAGCAGGGATCTGCCCTAGGAATAACACTGTATGGTATTTTCCCTTCTGATTCCCTTGTACGGTGCCTTTCCCAGCTGGGGTTTCTTTATAGTGTTGTTGATTTAAATGTAAGAATAGTTCTATGGTAGACAGTGGGTCAGAGACTGTCTTAGTGTTTTGTTATTTTCCTTCAAGGAGCAGGAAACAAAACCAGACACAGAACTTGATCCTCATTTAATGACATCAGTGCCAGAAACTACAGCTAACAGACTTAGGAGTTCAAAGGTTTTCTTTTTGCAGTCGGATTGCGATGCCCCCTGCTGTGTCGACTTGAAATGCTGCAGTGGGAAAAAGCCATCAAAGTGAAATGTAAATTTGAACGTCTCGAAGATGAGGCTCAGTTCTCTTTTTTTCCCACAGTAAGACCTCTTTTTTTTATATTTTTATTTTTTAAGGATTCTATTTCTGATCAAACTGACCTTCATGCTTTTAATTGCATTCAAACGATGTTCAGACCTTCAAAGAAAGACAATGAATACATTTCCAGACAAAAGGGGAAAAGGTGTCTATAATTTCCATTTACATGCACAGAGAGACAGATGAAAAACTGTAGGATTAATTGAAGGTCTGGTGATGTGAATGGCACGACTGTGATTACAGTAAATTTAGTGACGCCTGTTCATAACAGCAATATACAGGAATAGAAAATGCATCTGTCATATTTAAGAATTATGGATTTATCTCCACCAGTCATCATTTTCATTCATCCACAGTAAAATCATTTTAGAATTCACCATTTAAAATATTATCCATATGTTGATGCAAAGTATTTATCTGAAGTCTTTGTCGAGGAAGGTCTGACAAATCTGTCTCTTCTAAAGGAGAAATCTGTTAAACTAACTTTAAATTTGTCTTCAAATTAAAATCTTGATGTTTCATAACAACAGTGCATTGCTGCCAACATCATTCTTAAAATTCTTTGCACATGTTTTATAAAGCACAGTCCAGTTTTTTGTTCCATTCCATCAAAAAGAAGAAGGTTTGAAATCCACCCTTTCTTTTGATGAGGTAATAGCACAGTGGAAACTGAGAACAAAAAAACCATGACACAAAAAAAAATCCAAAAATATCAAGAATATGAAGTTCGCCTTCACCTCTGTCATATCAAAAGGAACCGTACGAGTTCCAGTGTTCATCATTGTTGCGTGCTTGAAAGCAGCGTTATTGCACACAGTTGTTAGGCAACACACTGCAGGTCATGAGCACGAGTTTCTTTTCTTCTGAAAGAACGCTCTCTCTCTCTCTCTCTCGCTGAAGAAAAATGTTGTCTCATTAGTGTTAGCCTGCTGCCATCACTGAGCAGAAACAGCCAGAGCTGGACTGTAACAACACAGATCAATAGATTTGATCAAATCCCAGGGGGAATATATCAGATTAATACTTATATTTGCTTTAATTTTGTTTTCTAGAACCATGTTTCATTTGAGATAATTTCACACCATAAAAAAGCATTAGCGTCCAGACCCTGAGGTTTCTTTTCTTCCTCTTTTTGTCCAAGATTTTTAGACACAAAACAGATTTCACAAATGACTAAATCCAGCAACTCTGTTTCAGTTCACGTTTTCAGTGTAAAGTATAACATTATTACTATATTTAATAAAAATCTGCCAGAAAACAAGAATAGAATAGAAAAGGTGAGGGGACAAGGAGGACATAATTTTCCGTCTTTATCAAACCCTTTCATCATCGTCAGCCATTGACTGATGCCTGCATGAATGCTACTGCAGACATTTCCCTCCAGTAATCTTTCAATCAGCGCTGTTTTAGGAGAGTGACAGCCATGACATGACATCACTGCAGTGCTGGCACCTCATAACTTCCACTTTGTACTGCAGGTACGGCGCCCTCTTTTGACAGTATTGATCCTAAGATCTATTCCAAGAGGAGGAAGTCCTTTTTAGAAAAATAAGAAGCAGCTTTTTTTTATCATTGGACACATTGAACCCATCCTTGGGGAGCAGTGGGCACTCTCAGCAGCACCTTGAGTGAGGTCATTTTTCTCGCCGCGGTGGGTTATTTAATAATCCATGGCTTGTTGCTGGTGGAGGTGGTTGTTTTTTAATGGGTTTGATGCTTTACACAGAAGATGTATGATCTCAGCTCAGTGTGCACTTGCATGAATTGGCAATTTATCTTTCAGTCTTATATTGATTTTTGCCATGCTGGGCATTGAACCCAGTCCTGATCAACGAGTCACGCTTCCTGTGACTAAGCTTGTTTTTTATGTTCAGACTTTTTCTGTTGCTATTTCTGGTTTTCATTTTTATATACATATATATATAGTTTTAGTTGTGTTGTCATTTTATCCCTACTTTTCTCTGTAGATTCAACAACATTTTTCAAAGTGGGGTGCCAGTGCCCCCTGGGGGTCGCACCTACCTCGTGTGACAGCTGCAATTTTTCATAAGCAGTGTAGACCTGGCCTGTTATCAAGCTGCTCTGCTCCTCAAGTTAGCATGCATCTAGCTAGCACAAAAGCTTTTTGACAATGTCAGAGTTTTTTTCATAATAAACAAATGTAATAATTATTGAATAGTCAATAAAGGTAACAAATCTTAACGTTAATATTTCTTTACATATTTTCTTTAGCATTGTCCCCGGCCAGAAACAAATTGTTCTTGGGGGAATCTTAGCATGGAAAAGTTCTGGAACCCCTGGCTGTATAGTACTGTATTATACATGATGATTAAACGTATTGGGTGGTTTTTAAAATGTACTAATAGGAGTTCTATTTTTGTAATTTATTAATATCAGTGTCAGATTCTCCAACACTTATAGCGCGAACTTCACAGAGAACTGTACTTTCATGAGTTCCTAATTAATGTACATCCTAACATACTTTTCTGCTCTGTTTTTCTTTTTCTGTTTCCTCCTGTCTCACCTTGGCTTCACCCCTCAGGAGCGACTGAAACAGTGACAGGTACTCACTCTCCTTCATCTTCCTGCTGTTCCCCCACAGGAGTTTGCTCCTCTCTGTTGACTGGCTGCCTACTGTAGTGTGCTCTGCTCCTCTGTGCATATTAACTGAAGTGACTGTAGTCGGTTTCCCCGTTCAGGAACAGAGAACTCCTTTGGTCACCGTTTTGTAACTGCCTTTTAATGTAATGAAATTAGATCACATTTAATGTCACCGTTTTGTAACTGCCTTTTAATGTGACATTTATTTTCATGTGAATGAAGAATACAAATTCTAATGTGATCTAATTTCAACATGATTTTTTTATACAAACAAACAATTGTTGTGGATTTTTGCCAACTAAAAGGTGGTAAGAAATACTAGAAAAAAATTGTAGTAATATATGGTAAAACATATTGCAGTAAAAATTGTCAAAAAAATATACTCATATGCCTAATAATTTAATATTGAGCCTATATTAGCTTTATCACAAATTTGGCCAAAATTTGGAGTTTATTATTATTATTATTATTCAGTCTCAGCAGGACAGGGGCATGAGTGGATCGAAAGTTGTTTTTTTTTTTAATATTTAACATTTTAGATCATGTCTGGTGGTTTTTCTTTGTTGGTTTCCTGAGTCTGAGTCTGAGCTCAGGCAGAGTAGAATGAAATCAGCCATTTATCTGAGCAGACAGGTCTGAGCAGTGATACTCATTAGAAAGCCATTTAAATTTAGACTGCACTGACGCTCTCTAAATCATGTTAGCTTTCCTGTCAGCTCTCATTCTAACTCCACAAAAAATAATGAAATGCATTTTACTTCTGAGAACTGAGGTTTTCAACTTGGATGTTTACTTTGAGTCTGTGTGGACACGCCTGTTATAAATCCTTTCATTTTTTCATCTGTCAGATAAAGACACATCTATGGTGACAAAGATTAATTTTCCTTCTTCTTTTCTGGCAGAGCATGGCTGTTTTGTGTTAGTATTAGATCTGTCTGAAGCAACAATGGCGACAGCTAGGATGCTGATGGGCAATAGAAATTCAGCACAGAAATTACATTTTCTTTTCATACTTAGGTATATTGATTTATCTTAATTAGTCATGATTAATTACAATCATCAAGAATCACGATTAATCCACATCTACTCTGTGGTTAATCATATTAAATTGTTTGACATCCTTTAACAGCCCTTGAATTTCCCTGCTCCTTTGTCTGTTCTGTTTTTGGATGGGAAAAATGACAATTGGTGGGAGGGAAATAAAGCAGTTACACATCTTAGCTTTAGCCAGAAAAGGCTCGCTAATGTCAAAACACAGTGGCCAACATTTGTTGTTATATTATTACTCTGCACAATCATGTTTTTGTGTGGAGTTGTTGTCATTTTTGCTCCAGTCAGATGTCAGGTTTGGATAATGAAATCTTACAGTCTGATTTGTGACTAATGTAATGCCCGTCCATCAAGATGTCATTGACATTGTTTCTTGTCTGTGTTGTGAAGTTGAAAGTCAGAACTTGGCAACTGACAACGTGTCAGTTATCGAGGGAGAGACGGCCACCATCAGCTGCAGAGTGAGGAACAATGACGACTCTGTCATTCAGCTGCTCAACCCAAACAGGCAGACCATCTACTTCAGAGACGTCAGACGTGAGTGTCAACCATGGCCTTGTACTGCTTAATATGTGCATACTCACAGGTACCTGTACACAGAATCCTACAGTTCAGGTGTTTGTGTTATGACAAATGTATGACTGTATCTGAGGTACTGTCAAACGAACAACGTTGTTCATTTTAAAGAGTTTATTGGAGAATTCATTGAACGTTGTTGTCGAAGCTTTAATGAAGCTCCGGGGCGCGGGTCTTACAGAGAGCACCAACAGAGAACCAAGCAACCAGCGTAGTGTGCTGGTTTTTTGTGTGTTGTTGTGAATATGAGTGCACGTTGGCCTCAGTACAATCGCCACCTGTGAGATTATCTGGCCTCACAGTAACTCAGACACAGGGAGTATGTGGATACACTTTTCAAGGCCTTCTAGGAACCTGAGAAACGATGATGAGTAGATTTCCCATCACTGGCTAGCACACATCAGGTCAGGCTGGTTGTTTCAGTGTTTTTCCACTGACAACGTGAGTTTCAGTACAAGTCAAATGGTGAATAATAACAGAATATCATTTGGTCATAACATTAGTGTACCTGAGATGTACTGAGTACCCACTGTTATTCAGTTGATCATTAAGGTTTAAACAAACAGTAAAGGGTGAAAGGGTGATTAAAAATAAATAAACCGATCTACTACCAGTCAGTAGAAGCTAGACCAGGCCCGTTCAGCTTTTAATTGGGCCCGACAAACATTTCCAAATTATATAATTTATTTATATTATCATTATACAGTACTTCTGCCTTTTCCCTGCAATACCCATGTTTACCCAATAGATGGCGTAGAAAAGGATTTTAACTTTTTTGCATGACTTTTACATGTCATTTATCTTAGTTCACATGGACACTTCATCTATCTGCTTCTCACCCGGCCCCCCTGTTCAATTTTAGGACCCTCGTTTAAGTTCAGTTGCAAAGAATTAAATTTAATGACTTGTGGTAAGTCCATAAAATTAAACAATAAGATTTACTCTGTAATTGATAAGCAATTCGGTTTGGCTTCGACTTTGCCATAAAGAAAAAACTAGATAGGAGTTGAGGTCTTTATTAAAGTAACTAGTTGGTAGTCTCCATGCTGTGAACAGAATGGGACAGAGTCGTCTCAGGGTGTCGTTAACCAAGGATGGACGCGTGTCTGCAGAGAACAGCCTCCAAAGGTGCAGCCCACAAACACAGCAAATAAAAAGAAACGACCAGCCATAACACCAGGTGCCCTGAGTTGGTTTCACCGCTGTGTAACAGTCCAGTCTGGAGTGAGTGGAGACAGTGACCCCTGGAGTGTGTTTCTTTCTACTCCATCATTTTTGATTTTGTTGTTGTTTGTTGCTTCACCAAATAAAAATGACCTGTTGGCGACCACAACAACAACAACAAACTCTGGGGTTCGACCACTTCGACCAATCATGAAGCTAGTTTTATCATTGCCCAGATGAAGGATATCTATTGGTGTGTAACCTCACAGGCCAATGCTGCCTCTAGTCAGTTAGCTGGACGCTTCCTCTCCAGTCTGGGTGAAGTCGTCCTCACTTCTGTTTATAATCATAACTTGTTTTTGTTTTCTTCTTCTCCCAGTTTTGTTTGGTACTGCTTGAATATCTGGGACCAAATTAATAAATGTCCCCCCCAGTCATGACTAATGAATAATCCAGATGAGCAGAGCAGATGGAGGCTGAGCAGCAGGGAGCAGCAGTGAGGCTGTGGAATGAAGCCATGTAAGAATGGGCGGAACATCTTAAGGGAACGTCCAAGAAAAAAAAAGCAAAAGTCAGAAACTTAGAAATAACATATTCAAATCCCATGAACTCCCAGACACAGAGTCTCATCCTCTACTAGATCATCTCTCAGCAGGCCAGAGTCTTCCTCACTGCTGCACTGTGTTGAAACTCCAGTTCAATGTAGTGGATGCTGTGCTGCAGATATGAAACAAATGTTAAAGGTTGTTTGTCATCACTGCAGCTGTTGTTCTTCAGGTTTATACAGTTTGTTTTTGTTTTAATTCCTGAGCCAGTGGTCCATGTTGGTACACGACACCTGCCTCTCTCCCACTGTGACCATAAATGATTGTTAGAATGTAATTCCTGAAGATTAGTGTTTTTCTACTCCAACAGTTCAGGCACCTGTGTTTGTGTTGTATCGTGAATATGATTTCAGATTTTATTTATATGCTAGGGCACGTGTGAGCATAGTGACTGCCCTCAGGTGGACAGTTCAAGGACATCAGGACAAATAACAAACTAATTAACAGCAGGTATAAATGTGTTTTATTGTGGTTTATTGTGTCATTTTTCTATTATTTAAATGATGTGTACAAAAGATACTATGCTGGTATATACTATTGTTTGTATAGATACTTGATTGTAGTATTTTTTTTTTGCAGTATGTGAACCCATCCTGGTCTTGATGTGGTTTCATTTTACAGTCCTGCCTTTTATTTTATGCTTCATTTCATTCTGACCACTCGGTTTGACTTACTTTATCTCCTCTATTCCTCTCTACCTCTTTCCATTTCCCCCATCTTTTTTTGTTTTTTGTTTTGCTCCACTCTCTCTGTCTCACTGGTCTCCCTCTCAGCTCTGAAAGACAGCCGTTTCCAGCTGGTGAATTTCTCTGACAACGAGCTGCGGGTGTCGCTGTCCAACGTGTCGCTCTCTGATGAAGGACGCTACGTCTGCCAGCTGTACACTGATCCTCCTCAGGAAGCCTACGCCGACATCACTGTTCTGGGTGGGTTCACCATCACACACTTATCACATGCCCTCACATGTACAACCGCTGTTCTTCCGCCTCACTGTAGCGACTCTCCCCCTCCTCGACCTGACGGATCAGGCTGTTGTTTCAGCAGCTGGGCTGCTCCAGCTCTGCCAAACATTGATGCTTTGGAGAAAAAGAACTCTAGTTGAGCTTGATTATACACACAGACGTCCTGGAGGGGGATTGACAGCTTTTAGAAGGGGCTGGAAGCAGTTGCTGAAGTTGTCAGTTTGACTTCTTAGGCAAAATCTGGATTAGTTGAAAGGGTTTTTGAAATAAACCACAGTTCGACGTGTCTGCACTCAACATGCTCCGAATGATAGCAATTTCTCTGACGACTGTAGAGTTGAGGGGAAGCTAAGCCTTTTGGACCAGCTCACTTACTCAGTTATTTTTGGTATTTTATAAAGATTGTTAGCAGTAAGCTTAACCATTGGTTTTAAAAGTTCCTCAGAAAACTTTAGAGAAGATAAGAAAAAATGCTAAAAAAAAGGGAATATAATCTATTTTTTATTTGTCCTAAAGTATACAATGATTGGTTGACTAGCCCACTGGTATACTTTTTGGTGATATTCTAATTTTTTGAGATAGGATTTTTGAGTTTTCTCAAGCTCTAAGCCATAATCAGCAATATTAAAATAATAAAAGGCTTGCAATATTTCAGTTGATTTGTAATGAATCCAGGATGTATGGCATTTTTGTTTTTTTAATTGCATTAAAGAAAATAATGAACTTTATCACAATATTCTAATTTTCTGAGACAGTCCTGTATATATATATTTATATATATATGCATATATATATATATTTGGCAGTAGGTTATTGTAGGTGTCCAATGTTTGAGAACCCCTGTTCTAACCATGGACGACAGTACCTAATAAATCTCAGAGGAAACATTCGTCATTGTAAAAATTGAGAAGAGATTGCTTGTCTAGGTTTCCAACATGGTGGTTCTTGTTTTAAATTGAGGTCCAAACGTGGGGTTTTAGCCTGAGGTTGTTGAAGGAAAGGAGCTTTAAAAGCATTAGCGCTCTCTTTGAACTGTTAGCAGTATTGTTAGCTGATTCTGCTGCTGCTAATTTCCAGCCTTTGAGCCTCAGGACACCCCAGAGTTATGAGTTAGGGCTGGAGGGAGGGAGGAGGTGAATTCAATATCCAAACGTTACTAACAATGTGCACACATCTGAAAGGGAACATTAGCCGATATAATATTATTTTTTTATGTTCCTTAGTGCTCTGACTGTAGTGAGTGGGTACTTTTTTCTTTAGTTGACTTTTGATTCTTTTGATCGGTTGCATTGAGCTGTGCATATCACTCCCAACCCTAGTAAAGAGGCTCTTGCAGCTGGTGGCTGGGTCTGAGATGGCTCTTGATGTTGATGATGATGTGGATGTCCCCTGGTGTCTTGCAGCTGGTGGCTGGGTCTGAGATGTCCCCTGGTGCTGTCCTGATTTCTCTCTGGTCTCAGTCCCACCAGGCAGTCCCCTCATTGAAAGCCGTGAGAACGTGGTCAGTGAAGGGAATGAGACGGAGCTCACCTGCATGGCCGTGGGCAGTAAACCAGCAGCATCCATCAGGTGGATTAAAGGAGATGAAGAACTGATAGGTATGCAGAAAAACTATGGAGGTCTCAAGTCCTGTCCTTCCTCTCTAACCAGGACCTGATGTCAGCAAATGTAAATCAGAGTTCAAAAATGTATTTAAAAAAAGGTATAAGACTCATAGATGGTTTTTTGTAAGACAGCATCTCTGTCCCCAGTCGATCCACAGACAGGTGTTTATGCTTCCTTATTAAAGATTAAAGCTGAGAAAAGAAGAAGTGGGTTGTCTGTTATTTAGTCATAAAGCTGTAAAAAGCCTCCTTTGATTTGAGTCATGTCTTTCCTCCAGGGGAGACGACATTTGAAGAGATGAGTGACAGGACGTTCACTGTCACCAGCAGCGTCAAATTCCCTGTTACCAAGGAGGATGACGGGGTACTTGTGGACTGCATCGTTGACCACCCGGCTGTGAAGGAACTAGTCGCTCATAAATACTTGGAAGTGCTATGTGAGTGAAGAAACTCTCCCTGATAGTTAGTCAAGTCCAGCCAGTTGATTTGTGTGGTCCACATTCTCAAAACATGTTTGTCTCATGGACTAAAGAGTTTTAAAATTAGAAATAAAATGAAAATGATCTTATAACATGGATGAATGTGTCTGCAGTTAAAGTTATAAAATTAGACTCTCTCTGAGGAATTCTAAATTGGTTTCCAAATGTTGTGTTCTTTAGGATTATTACTATGGATTTATATAAATTCTCTCTTTTTTTCAGATAAACCAGAAGTGAAGATCGTGGTGACGTATCCTGAAGGTTTGACCAGAGAAGGCGACAATTTAGATTTAATGTGCATTGCTGAAGGAAAGCCTCAGTGAGTACTTCTACTGATTGATTTACTTTGCATCCATATGCCAGTCATTCTGCTGTGTACCCCGATGGCCATGCAGAAGACCGACTTTACAACGATTCAAGTTTCTAGGGTGAAATAAAGCTCCTTCCTTTGAGGAATAAAAATCTGCTCCTCCAGTGTTGAGACGCCACAGGGCTAAAGTGCACATGTACCTGGAGTATCTCCTAGTACTTCAGCCTTCCAGTAAATCTGATGGATCTCAAACTTAAATCCCTAAGAATTTAAACTTGTCTATAATTGGAGCTGAACTTTGACTTAAACTTTGTTTTAGTGACTTGGATTAACACCACACATTCTGCTGCGAGGCTCAGCAAATGAGACCAAATATTTGTCTAGTTATTACATGTTGGACCGAAGCAAAAACTATTGAATTTTAGCAAATTATATCAAATAAAAATGACTCACATGTCAACCTATTAACAGATGGTGTTAAGACATGCATCTGCTGCTTGGAAAATACTAGAAGAATTTACTAATCAAAATAAATGTGGCACAATGAACGGTAAATATGCTGTTTTTCCCTGTTTCAACATTGTGAACATTAATGTGTTGCTGCTAGAATTTCTGCAAGTATAACAAGAACTCGGACATTTAAACAACGTGAACAGAAATGATGTTTCAGCACACATACAAATACAGCAAATTCTTCTGCTCTTGTTCCACTAGAATATGAAAAGCCGGTGACATTGACAGTGAAAGTGTTTCATGTTCTGTCTTTGAACATCTCCCACTGCAGTGACGGGCGTCTGTTGATGTGTGTGTTCTTTCTCTCCAGTCCACATGAGATCAACTGGCTGCGGGTGGACAAAGACGTTCCGTCTCATGCTGTGGTCACTGGCTCTGATCTCTACATCGAGAACCTTAACAAGTCCTTCAATGGAACCTATCGCTGCATAGCATCTAACGCTGTGGGAGAGGCCTACGAAGACTACATCCTCTACGTTTACGGTACATTTCTGTGTGTTAATGCCAAAGCTAATGAGTCAAAGAATAGTAAGATGCCATGAGGCTAACGGCTAACGCAGTACTGGGCGTCTTGGATTATGGCGGAATTCCGTTCGTACGGCACGACATAAGTCTAAGTCGGAAATGACGACTTACTCGTCCACTCAGCTCGCCAACTGTTTCCCGTGCGAAATGAATTTCATTTATGGGAGATGGCGACATAACCGTCAAACACTGTAGGTCAAGGAGGTTTTAAACCTTCTGTATATGCTGCTGACCTACAAAACCTCTTTGTTGATGACACACAGCTCTACATCACAAATGTCACCTCCTGTTCACAGTCCTTCACAGCCACTGGGTGAGAGTATCCAACAACTAAAGTGTAGTTCAGCAGAACCCGCCTGATCTGTAGAAGAGATTCTCGAAGCGACTTGAACACACATCTCTGCTGGAGTGTTTTTGTTTTTGTCTTTTTTATAGCACATCTGTCTCTTCACCTTTTCTTTTGTCTTCCGTTATTTCCTGTATATGTTCTTTATTTTTGTTCTACTTTTTTGTCTAGATGCTCCCACTACTCTCCCCACTCCCACCACCAACCCTGTCAACGTGCAAGGTACTGTATGTCCCCAGTCCTGTCCCCTTCAGACACCTTTCTGTGTTTGACGTGTGTTTCTGTGCATGCTGTCGACTGATGATCGAGTTAAACTAACGGACATTCGTCCAGACGGTGGTTTCACTGTGACCTTGGTCTTTGATTCTTCTTCTCTGTCCAAAGTATCCTGTGGTGTGTGTCTCTGTGTGGTTCGCTGACAACAGTTTTGGTTTTTTTTTTTGCATTATTTTGTCTAATTTTTAGACTCTAGAGCCGGCAAGGGGGCGACGCCAAAGATTGACCACGCAGTGATCGGCGGAGTAGTCGCAGTGGTGATGTTTGTAATCCTCTGCACTCTCATCATCCTGGGTCGATACTTCGCTAGACACAAAGGTAAAGTTAATGTGGAGCATTTCTACAGTACGAGCGAAGGGATGATGGAGGTGAAATTACAAATCAGTTATTGTATGAAAATTAATATTTAACAGTTGGTGATATTGTTCAGTTTAAGAGAGTACAGAGGTATGTAATTATTACATTCTGGACATTTTAGATCAGGTGCGTCAAACTAATATTCACCAGGAGCCACATCAGCAATACTGTTTATCTTATTAATTACAGTATTATTAATACATGTTTTTGCAATTGATGCTGTAATAAAAAAATGTGTTAAATGTTTTTATCAGGTTAGCAAACTTTGCTGCGTATACTTTATGAAATGCTTTTTAAGCTCATGCGGGCCGCACTTGGCCCCCGCTCCTTGAGTTTGACACATTCGTTAGATAACAAGGTAGCTAGAAGCTACACCAGACTGAACCTGGACCAGACTCTAACCTTGTTGTTAATCTTAAACTGATGACATTGATGTTTGACTGCGTTTGCAGGAACTTACTTCACACATGAAGCCAAAGGTGCGGACGACGCGGTGGACGCAGACACTGCCATCATCAACGCAGAGGGGGGACACAGCAACACAGACGAGAAGAAGGAGTATTACATCTAAAGAGGACGGACCAAAGGGACAGGTGGGAGTGGTGCTGGTGATGGTGCTGCTTTAGGAACATCACGGTCAACCGAGGTCGGTTGGCGGTGAAGGGGAGTAGAGGGAGGGTCTGCCTGCTGAGGCCTGTTCTGTACAGTTTTCTCCTACAGACAGTTCTGTGCCTTGTTCGCGTTTTCGTTTTATTCTCCTTTCACGTGAGTTGAATTTCCATTCGGTGTCTTGCACTTTATTAGATCCTTTGCAAAATGTCACCTTTTTTTAGAGTATTTACGGTAAGTTTCTTAACATTTGCCTGAGGTCATGTTCTTTTTATCTGTAAAACCCAAATGAAAACACATTTTGCCAACGTGGCCTTTACATTTGTGGAGGAAGACGTGATGAACGGCAGTGAGAGGGACGTGGAGGACAGACATGTGGACAGCTGGACTCAACCTGCGTCTCTCTGAGAAACATATTGAAAAGGTCTGCTTTGGATAAAGATGTCGTCAGGTTCACGTTAAAGTCAGACGAATGTGGCTGTGAATGAAATCCAACCCAGTCTGTACTGAATCAGACTGGATTTACTGATCTGTTGGGACAACACCTCCGACTGTTGGACCGTTTTAGATCTGGTCAGACTGTACTCAGGTTACAGTGTAGTTTTTCTATGGCAGTTCTAAGGTCCATCAAAGCAAAATGTGTTTGTGAATTCGGGCTTTACAAATCAAATTTAATTTAACCTGACAACTCGGGTTATGTTGGCCCAAATATTCTTGATTTTTTTTTTTTTTTATTCTTCCTGACAACAGTACTTAGGGACCAATAAGGTCCGTATGACTGACAACAGTACTTAGGGACCAATAAGAACAGAGGTGTGTTTTGTGAGAGTTCTGTTCATATTAGGTTTGAATGGCTTCTGTGTTGGCCACAGTTGGCTGACAGTGACCAGAGGTCAACTCATCCACACACGACACCGACACAGACCGAGACACACCTTCAAGTTCAAGGCATTAATCTGTGATGTTAACAGTGAGTGACGACTGTCGTGTTAGGAGGTGGATCTCATCGTAGACGGGATGAAAAAAACAACAAGCATTTTTTAAAAGTTGTCACTAATTTTAGTGGGGATGAAAAAAACAACAAGCATTTTTTTAAAAAGTTTTCTCTAATTTCAGTCAGAAAAGGGAAATATTCTCTTAAAGAACCAATACATACATTTAGAAGCAAAACAAACCGGAAAGCAGTGGCTCTGGAGACTAATTAAATAATTACTTTTTTCCTTTTTTCTTTGATTTTTATTGTCCTAAAAATTCAAATTCACAAAGGTTTTTAGTCATAATCCTGAAGTCTTGCAGGTTTAGTTTGGTAAACATTTAGACCCATTTTCTGCAGCCATGTTTTTTCCACATTATTCACACCAGTCCTTGGATGTTTTACAGTAACTGGTCATGTGGTTACAGAAGCTACACGTTCATTATAATTCCTGCATTACTAATATCTGAAAAATCTTTATGTAAAACTCCTGCCTTAAATCCTCCTCCTCATCAGAAATGAAAACAGCAAAGGACCTAATTTAGTGCCTTTTTATCTGATAACTGATGGTGGCGCTGCATACACCTGTTAACGTTGGACCTGGCGGTCGTTTCTTTCCTTTCTCAATTTCCTTTTTATTTAAAAGTGTGTGATGGATGAACCTAGACCAGAAGTAACAGTAAACCTCCGGAATAGAACCTTTGAACTACTAGTAAACAACAGGTCTTTGTTTTAAGTTGTTTTAACAGCGAGAGCTCCGCCCCTTTTTGGAGCACAAATACTAATAAAAAATAAATGGACATTTTCACAGACCAGAAAATCCTCCAAACTCCAGTGATAAGACCAATATTAAACGTCACCTTAACACTGACTGCTACATAGATATATGTATAAAACATAGAGACTTGTTTTAACATCCATTCATTATTTCTATTGTTCTGTTGTTTTGATGAACGGCTTTGTTCTGTGTCGTAAAAGAGCTCGATCTAAACGGAACCAGAAACATTAGCAGCTCCGACGTTTCTGCTTCCAGAGTTTAATAACAACCATCAGAGATTCTTCTGTTTACTTCTTTATGACCAAATTGTTGCTTCTATTTACAAAATATCTACAAATATGACCGGAGACCTTGATAAAATAAAATAAAAAAAATTAATGAAAGGACAAAGTGAATATGATTTCACTACATTTCTATATCTGCTTGAAGGCTGATGGTGATTCAAGAATCAAGGCCAGGTTTTGTATTTCTTTCTCATTCTTGTGGTAAAAAAAATATTAATTTAGTTCCAAATCTTTTTTTTTGGTTTTTTTTTGTTATTTATTTGAACTTCTAAGGTACTGAGGACAATTTGATCGGAGAGCAACAGCAAGTGAAAAGATGTTGTTGTCATGGTAATGTAAACATGAAAGCCCTGTATATTTGTTTCTATTGGAAGTGTTTTTGTCCAAACCCCAGCTCTAATACGTGTTTCAATACTTCAGTGTGTTTTGTGTTCACATTCTCAGGTTGATAAACATAATTAATAGGGATGTCCGATATTAACTTTTGGCCGATTTCCGATATACTGATATTTTCCAAACACTTAATTTCCAATTCATATATCAGTCGATACCAATATAGACCTGGTAATAATTATTTATTTATCTGTACAAACCACAGAGCAGGAGATTAATTAAATGAGCTTAAATGCTGCCATCTAGTGACTTTTACTTTAATATACAGCCGCTTGTCCCCCAAACTATTTTTAGGACACATCATTTGGCAAAACCCAGGCATTGCGTTATTGGGTTGTTTTTTTCTATCGGAGGTAAAACCCATAACGTTTCTAACAGATATTACATAATAAACTAATATCAGGCCGATAATATCGGTCGGCCGATATTATCGGAGATCACTAATAATTAGTTGTGTTCTTTTATTATTTTGCATCTCAGGTAGAGTGCAGTTACAGTATGAGGCCCCGAGTATTTACTGTAGTACTTCTACTTGCAGATGAGTATGTAAATCACAAGGATGTATATGTTTTGTTTTTCATTTTACTTCTGCATTGTATATGTGAATGTGTTTTGTTAATATTAGGGTGCACTGCTTTGGTGGACGTTAAATATTTTGCATAGAACTAGTTCACACAGAGAGAGAACACTAGATTTGTTAATCTGTCTGTACAGTTGTGTCAGTAACAATCCTGTCTCTTCACAAGCAAATGTTTTTGGTATTCAGTGACGTTAGGACGTGACTTCATTTACGGTTCACTTTTCAAAAGTTAAATGTGTCTCTGTACATGACTTGTTTTATAAATAATTGGTTTTTGTACTGGATAAAAGTTGTTCGTTGCAACCTGGGAAAACAAGTTCTGTTTCAAATGTTGTTTTATTATTATAATTATTTTCCGAATCACTTCTTTCGTATGTGGAGTAGGTTTCCTGTGTGTCCACACGTTTTGCATCTGTTAACAACATTTTTACAAATAAAAAAGAAGAAAAGGTGAAGTTTTCACAGTTTCTTCTAGTGGTAAGTTGTTGTCATTTAATTATTAATGCGATCGTTTAAGTTTTAGCTTTTATCATTTTACTGTAACTGACATTTAACTAACTACTGTTGTTTCTTTAACAACTGTTTTGAGTGGAATTTGTGCCTCAGAGAAACTCATTTGAACTGATATCTCTTATTCAGCTGTTCGCGGGGTTTTCTGAACTTGTTGGGTATCATTTCAATTACAGTTTTTAATATAATACTCATTGTGTTATAATACTGTGTGGAAACTACAACAGGATATTTGATAGAATATAAAGAATAGAAAATGCGTGGCTCAAAATTCCACGTCCCGAGAATGCAGCTTGGGTTGACCATTCTATAGCTTTACAGTGCCCTCTAGTGGCTGGTAGTCAACATAGAAATTCTCATAGCAGAATCCAGTAACTCGCATTTCTTTTTATGATAAACATTATGACTGCAATTCTAACGTTGTAAAAATAATTTGTTAGGTTAAAACGTTACATTTATTAGACAGCTAACAATAACATCTAAGACTTCACATTTGTTTTTGCATCTCCAGAGTGTAATTAGTAATACAGTAGTCACTGTTCAGTTACTGTGTAAGTTTATTAATTAGACAGAATATCATTTAGTCAAATATTAGGATATTACACACGAGAGAGTCACCTTGTTTGACTTGATTGGGGTCATGCTGTTACTTTCTGTTTCTTCAGTCTCCACAGCAACTGAGTTACCCCTCCTTCTCCCGCTCGTCCCCCACCCCAAACACCCAGAACCAGGCAACAACTGCCCTGATGTCTCCGAAACTCCCATCTGTTCACAAAATTCACATCACCGCCCGGAGGTCAACTCTGTCAGCCCCTGAGAGCAAGAGCAGGGAACAAGGCATCACCGAGTCCCTCAATTTCCCGCTTCATCATCTTGTTACATGAATGGATACGAGTTCGCAGCCTTGCATTTGCTAGATGGAGCTGAGTGATGTTTTATATCATGGTTCTAACCCTAGACAGAATTAAAAAGAAACATCGATGACTGTTTTAAACGGCAATTACGAGCTGTTTAATTTGGTTTATAATGTCCTCCAGGAACAGTTTACTATAAATGATTGCTTCTCCCGTAATAAAGACTGTGGTGATCAGCAGGTTGAGTCATCCTGAGGCTCCTGGAGAACCAGCTCTGTCTGTAAAAACAGGAGGAATGTGAGCTGCATATGTACCTGATTCAGGGTAAGGGCTGACCCTCGGTGGCCCACCCTCTTGACCCAAACTGTTGTGCAGAGGTTTCCTAACTTCATTCATTGATTTGCTACTCCTCAATCCTCTGCAGGGTCTGAGGAGCTGGAGCCGATCCCAGCAGTCAACAGTCCAAGGCAGGTTCGTCCAGAGCTTTATCTGGCCTGGAGCCGATCCCAGCAGTCAACAGTCGAAGGCAGGTTCGTCCATCGCAGAGCTTTATCTGGGCTGTGGGAGGAATGGTGAGTATCTGGAGAAAACACATGCACACATGTACAGGTGTTGAACCTGCAACCCCTTTACTGTAAAGGCAAGGATTCTAACTTATATCATAACTTCATAAGGCAATTCAGAAATTGTATTATTGTTCATTCACTGTACTTTTTGTATCTTGTGCATCTACTGTCTGGTCTGATGCTAATGTTAGCAGTTGACAAATGTAAAGGCAAGGATTCTAACTTATATCGTAACTTCATAAGGAAATTCAGAAACTGTATTATTGTGCATTCACTGTACTTTTTGTATCTACTGTCTGATTCACAGCTAACATTGCAGTAAGACTAATAGGTTAGACCGCACACATTATGAAGTCAAGTTACAAAAATACTTTTGAGTATTATTCACTGAATCTTAGATTCCCGTTCAACACACCAGATGTTGACAAACACAACAATCATTGACAATATATCTTTATTTGTCACTAAAATAATACATGGACCACTTTATCTCATCATACACACGATTGCATTTAAAATACATTTCATTAGTAAAACATGAAGTATCCTTTAAAACACCAAGTTGATTGAAATGCAGACAAAGAAAAACAAGATTTTTGGTCATTTCTGTACAAAATACACTTTTTTTTTACATCATTACATCATTATCTGTTTTACTTTGCTGTTCTGCGTTGATCACAAGACTATTTTGTCACAGTTACTTGACAGTTATATCACTCATTGTCAGGGTTATACTTTATTATATCTAGTGGAAAATGAGCGCGATGCGTTAAGAATGAAAAATAGAATATATATATTGTAAAGGCTCCACCAACTTTTACACAGAAAATACCATTTGAAAGTGCTTGTTGAAGTCTGCGCAGACTTGATATAAAACAAACGTACAGTATGTTGGCACGTCGTAGCTGTGAGGTGAGATTTATACAAATAAAATACCTCTCAAATATACACAATCCTATATGTACTTAAAAGTGCTGACTTTAGATTCTAATCCCTCATTTAGATTTAACATGTGTTAAAAAAATGTAAATCTGTATATATGTATATATATTTATTTTTTAAATGCCTATCACTGATATTCTCTTACAGAAATATTAAACTCTTACTGTTGATTCAAAAAA